AAAATTAACTATTACTCTAGCATAAGACCTGGTTATAAAGCAGGTGATCCTAAAGTAAACGAAATCCATTGTTTGTTTGGCGTATTTACCATCTGGAGAAATAAAGTATAAATTCCACTATGAGGATGAGTGGAAAGATTTGTCCAAGAGACCAAAGATTTTCCCACTATATAAATCTCGACCAAAAATAAAAATCAACAGCCATCAGCTCCTAAATTACAACTAAGTTGGAAAAAATGCAGTGCTAACTACAGCTGGCCGGTAAGGACGCAAGGTGCTGCTGAAAGAGCTGAAAATGTGATTGGTGAATTGAAAAACCTTAGCCCCAAAGATATTTTTGAGAAGTTAGTGGATGAAAATATATTGCGATATATTGTAGATCAAACAATCCGTTACGCCAGGGACAAAAACAACCACGTATTTTCTTTGACCATTGATGAAATGAAAAATTTTTTGGGAATACTGTTCTTGACAGGTTATCACAGACTTCCAAGAGAACGTATGTACTGGTCACTTGACGAGGATCTAAAAGTGGATATTGTGGCAAAATGTATGACCAGGAATCGATATTTGGAAATAAAAAGGTTCATCCATCTAAACGACAATACCAAGATAAATAAATGACGATCGCATGTATAAAATAAGGGGCCATTGATGGACATGCTCAATAAAAAGTATCAGCAGTGGGGTATAATTCACGAAAAGTTGTCTGTCGACGAGGCAATGACGAGGTATTACGGGCACCACTCGTCACTCGTCAGGGGAAAGCCGGTTCGCTTTGGATTTAAAAATTGGTCACTTTGTAGTTCTAATGGTTATTGTTATTCGGTAGATACATACTGCGGCAAAACAAAAGGCAATCCTGGTGACATTCAGCAGCCACTTGGGTCAAGAGTGGTATTGTCTTTACTAAAATGTGTGTGTGTGTACCCAGTGATCATATTGTCTTTTTTGACAATTTTTTTACTAGTTTATCTTTGCTAAGTGATTTGAAGCGTCTGGGTTTTAGAGCGACTGGTACATTGAGGCAAAATAGGACCGAGAAATCTCCTTTGATACCGGTAAAAGAAATGGAAAAGAAAAAAAGAGGTTCGTATGATAGCGCATTTGACTCGAAAAATGAATTACTTTTGATACGATGGAATGACAATAGTGTGTGTACCATAGCAACAAATTATGATTTTTTGGAACCATTGCAAAACGTAACGCGGTGGTGCAAAGAAAAAAAATAAAGGATGATGTGAAGCAACCTAACGTCTAATAACGGAATGGGGGGTGTGGACTCAAATGACCAAGTCGTCAACAATTATCGAATTTCAGTTAGAGGTAAAAAGTGGTATTGGCCGCTTATTACTTCAATGTTCAACGTGGCTATGGTGAATGCCTGGAAACTTCACCAGCTCGTGTCAGAAGATAAAATGGACCTGCTCTTATTCGTAAGAAACGTAACCCGTTATTATCTTCGGTTTTCAACGAAGGAGCATGGAAAGAGCAGAAATAGTGCAAGTGTTCCAAAGAGTATTGTGGAAGACGACATTGGGTCACTATCCTAAAAAAATTACCAACCAGCTACGATGCCGAGTTTGTCATTTACGCATTAGATGGCAGTGTAAAAAGTGTGCAATTACCTTGTGCATTGATAGAAACTGCCTCGAGGTATTTCACACTAACTGATATTCTGTGCGCCCAGTGTCCTCGTATGAGTACACCCCTCTAATTCAGCCATCCCGTCCGATTTTTTTTGTCATTTTTCTATATTTCAGTTGCTAATGTTTGTATGAACCAAATATATTAAATAAAATTTTAAAAAAATAAGTAGCTTCTTTTTGGGCGTTAATGGGTTAATGTTACATGTTATAATGTCAGGACTGCGCAACAATTAACTAAATGACTTTTTACACATGGTGAACCAATAATAATTTACTTGGAATGATTTTTCATTACAAATATGATTTTTGGTTGTCCTGTATCAATTATGCAAAAGACAGATACGTGGTTTTGCAGTCCTTGCGACTATATATATATATATATATATATATATATGAAACGTGAAATTCGTTACTGGACACATTTTGTGTTTGGAGACGCTGGCTCTTGCTATTTTAACCATATTTGCATCTATATAATGCATATTTGATGGCACTTCTATGGTCTCATTAAACATTTCTTAATAAAAAATGGCACGTTGCACATAGAGGTTCATAACCCTCGGACTAGACCCTTGTGAACAAGTTTGCATCCATAAAAGCAAACATTGACCACCCAGCGAACGATCTTTTAATCAAGAAGAGGAGATCCAGTTTGTTAGAAGAAATCGATTTAACTCTTCTTTCCGACGTCATATCAACCTTAGGAGATATTAAAGGTGTGTGTGACATGTTGGCATTTTCTAAGCGCCCAACCCTTCAGAAAGTCGCCTCTGCTTTTTACCTCCTGAGAATTGGATTGAATAACATCTCAGTTACCGATTCGCCGGAGGTGCGAAAAATAAAGCAGGAATGCGTTGCGTATTTGGATTGCGAGGTCTGGTCGTAGATTACTGACATCCACTTGGCCGCGACCTTTCTCGCTCCAACTTTAAAGAAATTTAGCTTCGTCTCTGAAAGTGAGAAAGCAAAAAACTGCCATCAACGAGTATGCTTTAGCCGTTGCGGACGATCTCTTCAATTCAAGATGATATGGTTGCAGTCATTCTCATTCCCACGGGAGGCGGTGCGGAGGATTGTACCTTTTATTGGTGATAAACTTATTCGTCCCGTAAATAAATACTCCCAAAATCGTTTCCCATGCATCGACCACTTGGATGTTTAATGGCGCCATAATCATTATTTATGCATTAATTTCGTTAAAAAAAATCAGTTAGCATATGGAAGAACAAAGATTATTTGCGGTCCTAGAGAAAATCGTTAAGGACGTTGAAAGTGCTGAAACCCGATTTCACCGAGATAAGTAATTGAAAACAAAAATTAAGTTCTCAGCACAAACTTCAACAAGGAGTTTAAGGCAATCGAGGGGAAAAATGGCAGGGACGTCTACAGGCAACATTCCTGAAGCTTCGCTTTGGTATTACTATGACCTATACTTGACAAAAGATCAGATGAAGATTGCAGTCACTCAAACTTCTGAGGTAAGATTTTTATTTCATTGTTACAAAATGGAGTGCCTGGTAACTCACGAGGATCAGTCATGTTAATTTGGTTCTTAGACAACTTGCGCCAAAATAAATGTGTTCTTTCTGCATCACACCACCATCTGACACTCGGACATTGACTCACCGATCGGAAATAATTTGCATCAACAATACCCCTAAGCACAATGCTGAAATAACCTTTCTAATTATAATAGTAAGACCTCTTTCCATCCATTTTTCAGATTCGGAACCTAGATGAGAAGCAAAAAACGAAACTAGCATTTCAATATTGACATAAAAATTTAAACAGTTAAATAAATATTTGTACTTGTAAATTGTTTTTTTGCTTAAATCTCGGTAAGTTACCTGTATTTTATTTTATGTTACAGCCACCGTTTCTGAGACTCAAGAGGACATTCTGGCTAAAGGGAGGGCTATAAAATTGAAAAAGTTACCACCGGACCAACGACGCTAAAAATCATAAATGACACGCTTTTTGAAGCAGAAATGGGCCTCTGGACATGGCATGGATTGTGTTTTCCAATCTCCCTCACTGGACAGCTTCCCACCTTCGTCTTCTTCAAATAGTTGGGTACGGTACCCCAACCAATGTCAAAGTGCAAACCCTATGAAACGCAAGATGAACGATCTCCTCATTAACGTCAATGCGAATTTGTGCCTTAAATTGTAATTCTATTCTCTTTTCCTTAAAAAATGAAGATTTTCCTTAAACTATAAAAAAAAAGAAACGCTCCATGCTCGTCACGAACAATGCGACTTTGAAATTCGCACGCATTTCTGGCCCACCCTGTATAAAATGATTCGCAAATATATTTATCAAATAATTGCGTGAAATACTCTCGCCAATTGACGATTTTATGAAATGTTATTAAATCCCACTCCTTAAATAAATCTTTTGAGGTACTTAGTTGTTGCCATTCGTGGTTCGCGAGCTCCCTGTCAACATCTAGTTGCGGAAATAATATTTTAAACTCGCTCAGTGTGGACGCGCAATAGAAATAATTTTAAATTGCCGCCATGTTGTCGGACGTCATCGTACCTACGCGCGTAAATACAGCAATAGAAACCAGATCTAGTAGAAACACGCGGCGGTTACAACGAATAAACGTAAAATTGTGAGATTCGAGTTAGAAGAAGAAACATTCAGTTGTTATTAAATTATCATTAATTACATTGTAACGCTCTCAAAACAGTCAAGGTGCTCCCGCACTCGATTCGGATTTGTACACTTTCAATTCGCCAACTAGCTTTCAGCGGAGGCTGGGCGAGTTCAAAAATAAAATGTTCGAGCGCCACAGAGTTACAATTTTTTTAAAGAGTTAAGTGTACAAAACCTTGCAACTACTGGATAACTCTGAATTCCAGTAGCCACGAGTCGTTCGCCACAAGACTGTACAGGATAAAAACAATCCAGCAACGTTTGGTGCTTTTTATTTACACAAAGCGAAAATAATAAATCATTCATAGGTACGATAACAATATAAATAATAATTAACGCTTATGATGGTGTAGCAGTTTCGTCAATAAACAGAAAATTATGTTTATCCAACACCTCTATGTTATCCAGTCATTATCATGACGAAATTAAACGAGTAAGGTATAATATAACCCACTAATGAGTTATGGACGTAAAATAACTCACTAGCAAGATAAAGTACAGGAACATTCTTTTATTAATTATTCTGACAAAATCAACACAAAAATCTAATTTAAATTCACATTGATATTGAAATTAAAGGAAATCGTTTTCTTCTTCGATGTTGCGTTGGAATCATGAAGTATGTCGGAAGAATTTTCAACAGAAACACAATCCATTTCATTCGAGAAGGAAGTCGAGGCTAACGGAATATCAACGACTTTTTTTTTGGCGCCTCCTTGAATCCTTTTTGGCTATATCGATTTTGTTGTTGACTGAATCTTGGATATAGCCTTCGGCCACCGTGGACGATTTCCATCCACCGTAGCGTTTCAGTGTTGTTATATTGGCTCCTGCGTTTGCCAGAAGAGTTGCAGACGCACGTCTCATGCTGTGTCCAGTATATGAGTGGGCTTCGGGTAGGTTCAAGAAGGAAGCAACTGCCTGGGGTACCTTAGATATGGTATTTATACCAACTGCCTGGATAGTGCATTTCTCTTTCTGGTAATTCACGAAAAATCTGCGGTGTGAAACGTTCTTGGGTCTCAAAGAAACATATTTCCTGTACAGCTCCAGAATGTTTATAGAGAATCCTTCTGTCATGATAGTAAAACTTCGTGACACATTTGTCTTCGAGTCGGGTATGGAGACATATAAGTATCCTCCCTTATCTTCAATATCATCAACTGTCAGTTTGGTGATTTCATCACAACGACAGGCACCTGATGCACCTGATATCCCCATTACCAATGCAACCTAGAAAAATACAAAACACATGAACATAAAGCTAATATATAAAGAAATTATGAATCGGTACCTTTATCATCAAGTATTTACTATCAGGTGCCTGTGTCAAAAACTTCTCTACATGTTCTCTTTCCAAAGTCTTCGCCTTTTTAGGTTTGTGAGTCCTTGCTTCATTCTTCAGATAGCTGATCAGTTTTCCATATTTTGATATGTCGACATTCTTATATACCTTCAAAGTACTTTTTACCATGGAATATTTCGTCCACATCGAAGAAGGTGCCAATTTTCTTCTGTAATTGTGGAAATAAGCCAGCATGACCTCTTCGTTGACTCCATTCAGACCTTGCTGTTCCCTCCATTCTTCAAACTGGCGGAACTCTTTGTCGTAATTGTCTTTAGATTTTCTTGGCAGCAAACTAAGACATGCTGCCTCAGCCTGTTTCATTACTTCTTCAGGAACAAAAAGGGGTTCTTGCAAATCTGCCATTATTCAGAAAATTTTCTGACTAAATTTTTTGTTGTTTATTATTCCCCATAGCAACGAATTATTGCTTTTGTATTCCATGCACTCTAGCTTTTCGCGGAACACGCAGTTTTTAAGATTTCCACGTTTTAAACCAGCTTGAGGAGGTGTTGGATAAAGTTTTGTATGGTGCACCTGTGTTAATTACAATAAGTCACTTGAGAAAATAACCCCACTCGGCCTGACGGCCTCGTGGGCTTACTTTTTTCTCGCGTGACTTATTTGTAATATAACACACTTATACCATAAATAACTATTCTTGCTTGCACACAAATTAATCAGGAAAGGTAAATGACTAACGGCGAATAAATGAGTAATTGGATGAATAAACTTAGAAGGCCCGTTATCCTTGTTCATCATAAATAATTCCTCTTAAAATTGACGTCGTTTGCTCCTTTTCGCAATTTGAAGACCTGTTAACGTCATCAAATACAATGAAAACGTGCTTTTTTCGGTTTGTTGTTATTATTTAAAACTGAAAGCTGCAGGTTTGTGTTTATGTTAAGGCTTCTCTAAAGTTGTTTAAAACTTCTCTAACTTCAAATGTAGCAGCATACACATTAAAACCCTTATTGACGTAGCAGGACTTTACTTGATACAACAATTTCACTAATCCTGTATGAAATTATATTATTCCGTATACGGATTGTAAGCTTTTCTGTTATCACCCATTTATGATGAACAAGGATAACGGGCCTTGCATGTGTAGTATATTATTATATTTAACATTCGTATTTTCTAAATTAGTGGTGAATTACTCATACTTTACAAAGCAAGTGGGTAATTGTGATTAATTAAAATTAAAGGTAAGTTGGATATTTTAATATGTATCTATCTATTAACGTATCTCTTGGCAGTGCAGACTAAAATGGCAAGGTTTATCGAATCGCAAAGAGGGGGAAGGAAGCTGATATATGAAGGTTATATATATTCCAAACATAAACAAAATGATTTGAGGATTCTATGGAGATGCGAACGCTTCCAACGAAAATGTCTCGGTCGTTTGATTTCTAATGCAGACAATTATATCTTAACGCAAGAACACAATCATGCGGCTTCTACAACTGAAGTCGAGTGTGCCGGCGTTATGAATAATTTAAAAACGGCAGCAAATGTAAAACGAGAGGCGCCTCGAAATATAGTTAATAACTGCTTGGCTGGGACGTCACAAGCTGCTATTATTAATTTGCCAAAACTAGATTCGCTGGAGAAAAAGGTGAAAAAATGTAATTTAAAAAAATATCCTCATTTTTATTTTAAGGTGACCAGAGCTAGGAAAGGAAGAGGTAATATTCCACACAACAGAGGCGATTTTGTAATTCCAATGGAACTCAGAAGTACGTTAACTGAACCACCCGAAGACATGTTGTGTTTCGACAGTGGCGAAGATGATGACAATAGAATAATTATTTTTTCTTCTCGCACGGACCAAATTCGACTTAGTAGTTGCAGCGTTTGGTTAGCAGATGGAACATTTAAAGTTTCCCCCAAAATATTTTATCAAGTTTGGGTTAGGTATTCATGGGTTGTACCGGAACAGAGTATTGTCGTTTGTTTACTGTTTACTTCCATCTAAAACAGAACAACATTATACGTTAGCTCTTAATATGTTTCTAAGTAAAATGGATGAAAATGTTGCTGAAGCAGCTTTACGCAGACCAACGCATTGCATCATTGATTTTGAAAAAGCGGAAGAAAATGCATTTCGTGATTGCATTCCTGGAATTCATATACATAGATGTTTGTTCCATTTTGCTCAAAGTAGGGTCATGGCACCGATTATTGACCAGTTAAGCACATTTCATTAAAATAATATATATAGTTCCTAAACGACTGAATTTTAATTGAAACTATAAATGGTATAAAAAGTAGTGAGGTTTTGTGGTTCTATTTAACACCGAGGTTGGAAACAAACCTTTCATTTGTCATGAGAAAAAATTTTTTGTGTGAAAAAGTACCCAACTCACCAATTATTGACCAGCAAGAACTAATATCTGACCGGAATGTATCCAGTTGTTGACCACTAAAATAGAGTAAGTAAAACCACTGTTAAACGATAAAACATTTATTCCTCAAATATGTTTCCAAATTAATATTCAAAAGACATCTTTCGCGAACTTAAATTTGGTTCGATTTCCACTGATTATAACATCCGGTGTATCCAGTTTTTTAACAAACTGGTCAACATTTACAATACTGATGTCATTTTCTATGACGTTAAACAACGTGTTACTTTCTTCTACAGGCGTAAACGCTTGTACTTCATATTCGCAGCCATACATATTTTGCACAGAGCAAACATAGTTATGATACTTTTTCTTTCCTGGAAATGCAACAACATAAAAGTCACCAATTTTAATATCTTGCTTGAGTTTTTTAGACACATTAGGGTCTTCATTTTCATTGTCACTGCTGTAGTGTTCTGATGATACATCATCCATACTCGAGCCACTCTCTTGCCATTCCTCTTCCTCACTTTCTGAGCTATTGAGATCATTGATTTTGTTTCTCCTTTTCTTAATTTTAGATGCCTTTGATTTTTTGATTTCAGCTTCTTTGGCTTTTTCCTCTTGTTTCCGTTTTCTTAATGAAGCCTTTTCTTTCTTTGCTCTTTCTTTTTCCTTTTTGATTGTTTCTTTTTCTTCATGGAACTGTAACCATTTACGTGATGTTGTTGCATAAGGCAGCTTTTCCTTCTTACTTATCTCTTTTTTTTCGGGTGATTCTTCGGGCCAAAAAATATGATCCAGGAAGGCAGCGCTAACTTTTTTTGTTCCTGATTGTAATACTGGAAGTTTTAAAGTAATATCGCTGTGAATTATAACCCGTTTTTGTTCTTTGGCTGCATCTTCTTCGCGTTCGATCAAAATGTTATTAGTCGCATCACAATATTTATTGTACCCTGCTTCTTGATTTGTGGTCTCTATGATATCTTCCAATTCAGTATTACTAGTTTCTTGGTATTCTGTTTCTTGATTTGTAGTCTCTATGTTATTTTCCAATTCAGTATCACTAGTTTTTTGGCGAGTTTCTTGGTTTTCTGTATCTAATAGTATGTTCTCTGTTTTTTGATCCTGGCACCTCTTTTTCAATTTTCTCCAAACGTAATATAACTCTTTCGCTGATTCATCACCGATCCATTCTCCCGCTTCTGCTTGTTTAAACTGTTCTCGCCTTTCACTTGATATAAGTGAGTCGAAATACAGAAAATGAGGTACATCAAAAGTGGTTGGTTTGGTGGTTTCATTTTTGGTGGAGTCTCCCAAGATCCGCGAAGAATCGCGCATACATTTTGAAAAATCCACCGCCTCAACATCAAAAGGATATAAGCCACACTTCCGAAACCCATTTTTTACGGTCTCTAAACTAATTTGCTGCACTGATTTTTCCAACAAAATTGGAAAAGTGGCCTTATTCACTATTTTGTTGTTGTTGCTTTTTTTCCACTCAGAAACAACATTTTTCCATTTACATTTTAATGGAAAAAACAACGACACGTCGGCAGGCTGTAAAATGTGTGTTGCATTTGGAAGAAGAGCATACAGGAAAATGCCATTTTCACCACAAAATTTGCTTAAGCAATAAGTTAAGTGCGATTTGTGCCCATCGAGTATGTATAATATAGGTAACTTTATACCCTTGTTTCGTAACTGGGGCAATAAGGTGTTGGCCACGTAACTGAAAAACGTCTCACTAGTCATCCAGCCCTTTTTTGAACGACCTGAAATAAAAAATAAGATGTAGGTAAAAACCTTTTTAAGATGGAGCAATGAGACAACATACCAATGACCCACTCAGGATTTGTGTTCCTCACAATTTCTGCCGGAATCCTTTCATACGGGTAAACAATCATAGGAGGGTATATTTCTCCATCGGCGGATATGGTAAATAAAGAAGTGATACATTCTTTTTCAGATCCAGATTTCACTTCATAAAAGTTTTTCATACCACGGGGACCCAACACAAGTCCCGTCTTTGGGTTAGTGGCAAAACCTGACTCATCGGAGTTTAAAATTCTCGTCGGATCACTTACGATATCCTCGGCGTTTTCTTCAATTAGGTATGTTCTCACTGAAGCATGCCACGCTCTTATTGATGCCTCAGTAACACACGCTCGCGCTCCATTAATAGATTCGGCATGTCGTTGAGTAATTTCCGGATGACGTTTTAAAAATGATGAAAACCACTTTTTGCCAGGCACTCCATCACGAAATTTGTGAACTCGATCATCGTTTTTAATAATCTCGCAAACAGTTTCACAAAGAGATGTTTTGTTAATAGGGAACCCCTTTTTAGCATTAGCGAGAAGCCACCTAACTAAAAGATCTTCCTCTTCTTTAGAAAGGATGGTAGGAGGGCCCATTTGTCTCGTTAAAGAAGATCTGCCTTTTAATTTGTTTATTAGGGTAGAATGAGGTACACCGTACAATCTTTCAGCTTGTCGAATGGAGCAGACATTATTTGAAATGTCATTGATAGCTTGTTGTAATTGTTCTTCGCTGTATTTGAAAAAACTCTTCTTCATTTCGCTGAAAATAAAATAAATCCGTTGACCATCAGAAAACACCAATAGTGGACCTACCTTGACCATGCGAAAACACTAATAATTGACCACTATATAATCGTGGTCAACTACTAGATTCATTTGAAAACACCTTATTTTTATAAACTAAAACGCATTCTCTACACTTATTCAAAGGTATAAAACCAACAAAGACACAAAATCTTGAATTCCTCTCAAACACCAATCGTTGACCAATTTGGACAACTACTGGTGTTTCACAAAATATTAAATTCTAGTAGTTGACCACCTATTTTTTTACAACAAAAAGGAAAAATTTAGCTACCAGCAAATACAACATTCTTTAATTTATATCTGAGGTTAATACTATGTCAACTAGTTTGTTAAAAAAATAAATACATTGAGAGATGATTACAGATAAGTAAAAACGAGCATACCTACTCACCACGCTTATAAGCACTGTCACTTGTTGAACGCCGTGTTAATGTAAATTTTTTTACCGACTCAGAATTGCCATCTATTGCACAAATTTCAAACTATAATCGTGCTACCTACTAAAGAAAGAGTGAGAAAGAAATATGAAATCATTGCATGTGAGCAGGGTGTTACAGATTCCTTATTTTCGGGCATTAAACATAATTTGGTCAACTACTGGGTACTGGTCAACTACCAGTGCCATGACCCTATATGGAGAAATATTCAAAGGCTTGGAATGCAAGTCCGCTATGCTAATGATGCCGAATATAATAGTAGCCTTAGAAAATTTACTGCATTATCTTTTTGTCAACCGGAAGACGTGTTAGCTCGATATGAAAACTTGGCTCGCGTATTTTTGGGAACATTTGGTAATACGGATACCCACCAAGACTTCTTGGAATATTTTGAGAATACGTGGGTGGGAAGAGCGCATAGAAATCCACGGTTTCAAATAGATATGTGGAACTGTATGAATGTGACCGAAATTTCACTTCCATGTACAAACAATAGCGTTGAAAGCTGGCACAGTGCTTTGCAATACAATTTTGGCTGCCAGCATCCCAATGTGTGGAAGTTTTTTGATGGATTGCGCACAGAACATGTAAGGTCTAATGCCATATACATAAAATTAAATGCGGGCGAAAATTTGCCGTTATATTCCAGGAGAGAATATCAGCAAGCTAATGATCGCTTACTGAACATCCCAAACGAATACGAAGAGAGAACTGAAGAAGACTTTCTTACTGCGTGTTTACATTATGTTGCCTTTTAAACTTGAACGTGCATATATTTTATTGTTTTCAATCCTTTTAATTTTATTATTTTTTTATATTTTTATAAAGTGTTTATTGACGTCTTTATGTAATATATTATTATCCAAGGAACACTATTATTTTCAGTAAAATATGTTGTACGTAGCTGTACTTTTTTTTCCATTTACTCTTAATATTATGCCTAAAAGGTAGGTAGTTAGACTTTTGAGATTAGGTACCTGCTCCAGCTAATCGAATTTTATAATGAAATCCCGGTCAAAAGCAAAGTAAAGAAAATTGAATTACTTCAAGTGAAATTTTAAACATGATCACTTTTAGTCTACCTTTCACAGTTTAACTGTTGATCCAAATTTTCATTATAAAATAATGAGGGGAGGAAACTGAACAGTTCTTACACATGTTGAATATAAATAAACCTTGAGGATCCAAAGGGGTATATTATGGAGTATATAATGCGGTAGATATTCCCTCGGGTGCAGACAAACGTGTCCCCAGATGCCCACATGTGTAAAATTTCCCGGGTATGGCGCACCCTATGTAAGAATTATCGGTATGAGTTGTCCTGGGCATGAGTTGTCCTGGGTATGAGTTGTCCTGGGTATGTGGTGTCCGGGTATGAGTCGTCCGGGTATGAGTTGTCTGGGTATGAAACGTCCCCGACCCATTTTTCTTAATTTTAATTTATTAATTTTTATGGGCAAGGTTCATCCTTATTGTAGGCAACTCAATTTTCTTCCTATAATTCTGACAATGACCCTCAGGTTATCTTCATTTTCGTATAGGTAGATTATGGGAACAATTTCACTTTTACATTCGACATTGCTTCGTAATTACAAGCACTAAGACGACGATCTTTAGATTTTGATTGTGGGTAGCTTTTACCGAAAATTGTACATTCCTCAAGACTCGGATTTTTGGAGTAGAGGGTCTGCAGCAGTTTTTCTGGATTGGGTAATTGCTATTATTTTTGGATTGAGGAGCATTTTAATTGGATTCTTCCGATCGTTCCTCATCTTACGGATTTCCGGCTCTAAAGAGCAATCAATTTTTAAGAAGATATCTACGTCAGCCCTAATTCTGTTAGGGGTAAGTTCTGTGTTCTTTTTATATATATCTTCAGTGGTAAGGCACTTTTGGTAATTCCCATTTAGTTTTAGTACGGGGCTAATCAAACCAATTAAGTTCGTGACGATTACACACCTGAGTTCCATTGGTCTTGGCGCTATCTTCAAGGTGAGGTCAAAGGGGACATTCCATCGACGGTCAATTCAATCCTATCAGCAGTCAGCGTGGGATCAAGGTTGCCATTCCAATAAAAGGGTGTTACAGCGCAGCCAGTAGATAAGTTGCACTCCTTTATAACACATTTTGGGAAGAGTGTTAATTAATCACTTGTACATATTTGAATTTGTTATCTGATTGTTTGTATAGTAGCTAGTAGATTATTGCTTGGGAATTTAATAACCAGCTTGAGTAGTAGCTTGGGTAGTAGTTAGCAGTAGCTTGCATGAAAATATATTCCATTAGACATTTTGCCATCTGCACGCTTGCATACCTACCGAATTCATTATCATTGCTTTACATTACCGATTATACAGCTGTACATTGTACGGTGGGCTAGGTTGCGTTATTTGAGTATTCTTGTTGAATTTATAATTTAGAAATCTACAGCAATTGCTTTGGGTTTAGGGGTACGTGGTTCCAGTAGCTTTGGGAAGGTTAACAGGTAGCTTTGCTCTTTGTAGTTGTCCAGGTCTCAGAGAGGGATCGCCGTACACCGGAACGCTGGTAATTCTAAGTTTATTCATCCAATCACTCATTTATTCGCCGTTAGTCATTTACCTTTCCTGATTAATTTGTGTGCAAGCAAGAAACATAATTTTCTGTTTATTGACGAAACTGCTACACCATATAAGCGTTAATTATTATTTATATTGTTATCGTACCTATGAATGATTTATTATTTTCGCTTTGTGTAAATAAAAAGCACCAAACGTTGCTGGATTGTTTTTATCCTGTACAGTCTTGTGGCGAACGACTCGTGGCTACTGGAATTCAGAATTATCCAGTAGTTGCAAGGGTTTGTACACTTAACTCCGCTGGAAGCTATAGTAGTTGGCGAATTGAAAGTGTACAAATCCGAATCCAGTGCGGGAGCACCTTGACTGTTTTGAGAGCGTTACATTATCCATCTCTGCTTATTACCATAAAATTATCCCTATTCTTATTCCATTCCCTTCTGAATGTAAGTGACGATATGGATAATATTTGGTAAGTTACAAAATTAAATACACAGTGATAAAATGTCACCTGAAAAAACTTTCGAGGGTATAAAATTGTTTGCGAACTTTAAATAGGGATCATCAAAATTAAATCGCGTTTTAATTTGCTTGCATAGTTCAATAAGGAAGTCCAATGCTCGCAGTCTAAAAGAATGTAAATCGTTTTGATTTAAATTTGGTGTTTCTAAAACAAAGTCTTCTAATTTCACCCAAAATAAATAGTGTCTAGTTCCCTGTAATTACGTGATTGGTAACTTCAATGTGCTTGATATCGGTGCAGTCGATTACTTCCTTTTTTATAAATGAATTTAAAAGCACTTTATAAAAGGAAGAAATCCTTTGCAACAGATAAGGAACTTTTGCGCTTTCTGATTGAAATTCTAAATTTAACTTGGTGATCATTTCTAGAACGTAAGATAAAAACAAGAAATAAAGTTTAAATGCAGGGTTTGATAGAGCGTTTAAAAGTTGTGTTGCGGCCGGCAAACCGTCCTTGAAAAAATAGCGTTAACGGATTCCAATGTTGTAATATTCTATCAACAACCGTCTGTAAAACAAATTAAGATTTATTTTATTCGTGCGTTTATATTCCTTACCTTCAATGAAAGCCACCGTGTTTGGCTTGGATAGAGCATTTTATGCGACTTTTCTTGGGCATAAATTTGGCATTCGAATAGCTGATGTAATCGTTTGCTACTATATGCAAAATATGAATAAATATCTCTGGCAAACTGTCCCACAGTACTAGGTAGCTTTTTTGCTGCATGAGAACGTGCAAGGTGAAGCGAATGGCAGGAGCATCCGTGCACAAAAACATTGCGCACTACTTCTTTTACAGATAAGCAAGCAATATAATGCGCTGTGCTTCAAAACGTTTGGGCACTGCATCGTAAATAATGCGCAATGCATCACATAAAATGTGTTGTGCTAAAAAATAAATGCACAATGCACGAAAATAATTGCAGAACGCCATTAATTTTATGCGCGATGCATTTTATTAATTGCATTTGGCACATGTATTTTTGCACTATGCTTTCAATAAATTGCATTAGACATAGTTTTTATTTATGTAGTACCTATATTAGCGTATTACACACATAAGGAGAAAAGATTGTATGTCTTATAAACTTAAAAAAAACAGAAAGGTACCTAGTTTAATTATGAAATGTAATATGTAAATTATGTTGGTACAAAGGAAACGTTTATGTAAACCTACATTATATTTATGTGGAATAGAAATCATAAATGTTTCAAAACTACAATATAAAAATTTGTTAGTCAAATCTGATTTCGTTATATGCTTTATTTA